AAAATGAACCGACTCTCCTTTAAGTTGTGGGTGTCAGATGTTTTGTCCGAGAAACAGGAAAGTGGCTAAGACAAGATATGAGATAGATAGATATATACACTAATCCCTCCAAAGGAATGAATTATTATTCATCACAAACACATACTAATCCAAAAAGCAAAGAAAATGACATGTAAACATTAAAAAAAAATCCTGACAGCATAGCCAATATGTGCACCAGCGGCAGCCTGACTGGGATACATTAGTACGTGGGTCTCATCACGGCCTGACTGTGACTACAGCTCACACAGCCCCCGTGTGCCCAGCTGTGCCCAGCTGTGACCTTGACAGCAGGCCCGGGAGGAGGGTGTGGCCGCCAGGTGGACATGGTTCGTGGGTTGCTCAGGCACACGGCCCTGGGCCCTGCGGTACACACGGCCCCCTCCTTCGCTGCATGACCACAGGCAATTTCTGGCAGCACCCAGGACTTCAGGGTCCCAGCCAAAGCCACGGCGAGCACACCTCCCTGATCTTGGAGTGAGACGGAGCTGTGTGACGACAGCCATGCCAGTGGGCAGAGATCGCTTCGGAAACAGAGACAAGGAGCAGAGCCCTCTGGGGCTCGTCCAGAACTTTCCTCTTAGAAACCCACACCATCTCTGCAGCTGCATCTTGGGCTGCGTGGAGTGGAGGAAAGGATTTGGGGGAGCTCCCACCATGGATGACAGGTGTCAGTGACATCCCCAGAGTGTTGCCAGGCGCCTGGTGCTGCAGCCGCCTTCCCACAGGTGCCGGGTGGGAGGCTCTGGAAACATCTCCTCTCTCATCTCCCTGGAGATGCCAGGAGACACAGATGCTGAGATTGCCTCCTGAGGTGCTGGAAGACAGCCTCTCGGGCAGGCCAAGGGGACGCCAGGGCCCTGCCTCCCTGAACTGTCCCAAGAAGGCCGTGAGCAGGTGACCATAAGCAGGGCCATCCTTGGTCCTTTCTGGTCCCCCTCCACAGAACACAGGTGCACTAATCCCAGTCTGAGCCTTCTCAGAGCTCTGGGTGCCCTGTCTGAGGTGGTACCCCAGGCCCCAGAGGGGGACTACAGCCTCAGACGCTTCCCACACCTCCCATGAGGGCCAGATGGAGCCTGAACTCTGCATAACCAAGCATCTGGCCGCAAACATCCCCGCATAGGAAGAAACACGCCTCTCTCTCTGATCAACACACACCACCTGAGCCAGCACAGGTTCCTAAGGGATGCCTTCCAAGAGACAGATGTCGCCTTCTTAGGACGCTGGGGTCACCCCAGAAGAGGGGCCTGAAGGTCACCCCTCCAATGTCTGCTGGAGGCTTTGGGAATAGTCCCACTCCAGCCAGTAGCACCAGCCTGTGGCTTCTGCCCTCTGGGCCTCAGTCTCCTCCTTTGTAAAGATGAGGATAACCTGTTCACCATAGGCAGCCGTTTAGAAGCTGGGGTGAAATTGCTCGGGACACCAGGGGGACCTCGAGTAGCAAGAGCTAGGAGCGCAGGCACGAGGGGCCCTGGGGGGACAGGAAGAAGGGGTCTGTGAGCCCTGGGATGTGGTCCCAGGGCAGGGGAGCAGGTGTGCCCCTCTCTGGGATGGTGGTCCACCCTGTCCTCCTCCTGCCGCCGTCCTGGGAGGTTCTTTCCTCCTCTTCGCGCAGGCTCTCGCCTGCTCCTGCAGCTCACTGAGAAGCCATGGCACCCGCCCGGCATGGCTCAACTTCCAGGGCAAAGGAGCAGCAAGGCGTTCTCTGTCCCAGCCTCCAGCTCTGTGTTCCATCCCCCCAAAACCCCAGGACAAATAAATGGACACGGCTCTATTCCAACAAGACTTTATTGTAGACACGGAAATTTGCATTTTACGTACTTTTTTCTGGTCACAAAATGTTATTCTTTCTTTTGAGATTTTTCCACCCTTAGAAACATAAAAACCATTCTTAACCCATGGGATGAACAGAAGCAGGTCGGGGCGGAGGAGACAGGTGTGGCCCCCGGAGCCAGAGTTTGTCAACTCCTCCTTGGGGTCCCAGACCCAGTGCCAGCCCCTCGGGAGCGCTTGTTGGGAATGGAAAATGACAGGGCACCCTCCGCTCCACAGATTCAAAATCTGCATTTTAACCAGATCTCTAATGACTCACGTGCACTTGAAAGTTAAAAAAAAAAATGCGCTGCACACTCAGCGTCACTCCCAGAGACTCTAATTGAATAGGAGTGGGGTAAGGGCTGGGGATGTAGCCCAGTGGCACAAGAGCCTGTCTGGCAAGTGCAAGGTCCTGAGTTCGATTCCCAAAAAAAAAAAAAAAAAAAAAAAATAGGAATGGGGTACAACCTGTCGCTAGTTCTCAGAGCCGCCTGGGGCTTTGCAGGCACAGCCAAATGCAGGTGCTAGAACTCCAGAAAGACCGCAGGGACCATGGGCCGCCCGAACCTCCAGAGCCTGCAGTCCCTCCCCTAGTCGCTGTCTCTGACTCCTTTGTCCCCACTGAGATCTGGGACAGGGTCTTATCTAACCCGAACCCAGGACGATCTCACACCAATGGCTCCCCTTCCAGGACTCAGTTTCCAAACCTCAAGATGGCTGTGGACCCGGAAATGAGCTCCCGGCCGTGGCCACTCCCGGCCGTGGCCTCCCTGTCCTGCCTGTCCCAGGCTTCTCTCTGCAAGCCCTCAGGCTGACACAGGCAGCTCCCAGGGGCTCCAGGGACCAGGCTGACAAAGAAAAGCACCCCACCCATTCAGCAACAGCACCCCCAAAGCCCAAAGCCCTCTACCTTTCTACTGTGTCCTCCTTTGCCCAGCCCCCACCTCTCCTCTGATGGCCGCAGGACCCAGCCCTCTCTTGGAGAGAGACACACATTGCTGAGTCTCAGCGGGCTGGCGCAGAGGTGACAGGACCTTCAGCGGTTCCAGGGACAGCGGAAACAGTGCAGCGCCCCCACACACCTGCCATGCCGTCTGTCCATCCACGGCCCAAGGAGCACACGGAGATGACTCCAGCCCTTGCCCAAGACCTCCCCCTCCAGGGACGCCCCAGCTGACAGCTGCCACTTCCTAGTGACGATGCCTGTCCCAGTCCTGGCATGCCCAGCCCAGATGTGTGGGGGCCGGGCTGGGCACCAGGGCTGCTACCTCTTTCCAAGCTCAGAGAAACACAGCCAGCTGCATCTAATAAGCACTTAAGCAGTGGCAGTTGCTGTGCTAAGAACCAGCGTTCTCCAAGGTCATGAGGATCAGAGAGGTTAATAAACAGCCCTGAGACCACAGGGCTCACAGAATGGTCAAAGAGATACACTAGGAAAAACTCTTGAACTCTTGCACCTCCAATCTTGTCTTCACTCCCTGAGCTCAAACCAGGTCTGCCTGTCTGTCCCCTGAGGGCTGGGTGGATGGAAGGGTGAGCTGGGGTGCAGGGACCCTCAGCCCCTCTCCCTGCCCTGCGGCCCCCTCGTGAGCCCAAGCAGAGCCTGTGACCAAAGACCACCTAGCATCCCCACGAAGAGAGTCAGGACTGAGACCTGGGCCTCAGTTTCTCCATCTGTAACATGGGATTCCTGTCTAGCAGGGTCACTGGAAAGGACAGAAAGAAGTTGTGCAAAAGACCCCACACAGGTGACTATTTAAATGGTGACCTCACTGTTCTGAGGACTCTGTGACTTCTCCCTCCCCCTCCACCCAAGGGTGCTGGGAGCCAGCTTCGCCCCAGAAGGAAACAGAAGGTAGATGTTGCCCGCCGAGCCTCCAGGAAAGTGGCCAGGAGCCTGGGCTCTGCACCCCACCCACCACGGAGCCCTTCTTTAATTAGCTCCAGACTAAAAATAGCTCCCCCTCCTCCCGGCCTGCCCACCTACCTCCAGGCCTGGCACTGGGGTGTGGCTGAGCCACTCTTGGGGTGACAGCCAGCCCGGGTGACACAACCCACAGCACAGAGCGTGGACGCAGCAGGAGCTTTACTGAAGGAGACACAGAGCTGGCACGGGCCCCTGCCACCATCCGAGCCACTCCGTGTGTGCCACGTTGTCCTGTGGCCCTGCACCCCCCTCCCCGGCCTCGCCCCCTTACCCAGCCTTGCTTGGCAGAGGAGCCCCTCGGGTCTGTTCAGGGGAGGCCTGAGGACACCGGGCAGCCCTTCTCCTCCACTACATGGTTCATACTTGTGGCCCAGCCATCCCTGCTGGGCGCCCTCGGTCACTTGCAGCTCTGGAGCCTGGTCCTGTGGTGCTTCTCCTCCGTCAGCAAGGGGATGAAAGTGTCGCTGTGGGAGAGCTTCAGCCGGCTGCCCCAGCTCGGCACCTCCTTCACTGCAGTCTCTGGGGGCAAGGTGTCCAGGTCACTGCGGGAGCCACCAGGCTTGCCCTCGCCCGCACTGATGGAGTTGAGTTCCATGAGCTCCAGCTCGTGCTTGGCCGCGGTCTCTAGCACGCGCTGCTTGTTGTAGTACCTGACAAAGTTGTTGATGATGGGGTGGATGGGCAGAGCGATGGCGATGACCCCACACAGGAAGCTGATGGCCGCATTGAGCTTGCCCAGCGTGGTCTTGGGGTAGATGTCTCCATAGCCCACTGTCGTCATGGTGATGATGGCCCACCAGAAGGACTGGGGGATGCTCTTAAACAGGGTCTCCGGGTGGCTCTGCTCCATGGTGTAGCCCAGCGCCGAGAAAACAAAGATGCCCACGGCCAGGTACATGAGCAGCAGCCCCAGCTCCTTGAAGCTGCGCTTGAGCGCGTAGGTGAGGGTCTGCAGCCCGGAGGAGTGGCGAGCGAGCTTGAAGATGCGCGCAATGCGCATGATGCGCAGTGCCTGCACCGCCTGCTGTACGTTGGTGAGCTCCATCATGCGCGCGCCCAGGTGCGTGAGCGTGAGGCTGACGTAGAAGGGCAGGATGGCCAGCACGTCCACGATGTTCATGAAGGACAGCGCGAAGTGCAGCTTGTTGGGCGAGGAGAAGAGGCGCAACAGGTACTCCAGCGTGAACCAGCCGATGCACGCCGTCTCCACGTTCTCCAGGGTCGGGTGCTCCACGCGGTTGCCTTCCGCGTCCACCACCTGCAGCTCCGGAATGGTCCCCATGCACATGACCACTGACGACACCAGGATGAGCAGGAAGGACAGCACGGCCACCACGCGAGCCGGGCACGACGACTCGGGCTTCTCCAGGAACTTCCACACGCACTTCTGGCAGCGGCGCCAGCGGCCCTCGGCGGCATCCACGCCCAGGTCGTCCAGGATGAGCTGCACACGGCGCGCGATCTCCTCCAGCTCCTCGCGCTTCTCGCTCAGGTGGCTTTTGCAACAGTCGTCGAGGAACTTGAGGTCCACCTTCCAGAAATCCATCTCGTTCTTGAAGCAGATGGGGCAGATGCCCTTCTTCATGTGCACCTCCCCGAAATAATACACTTCGATGACACACTTGAACGCGTCCGGGTCCCTGTCAAAGTAGAACTCGCGCTTGCCGGGGTCGTAATCATCGCACAGGGAGAAGATGGTGTCGTAGCCCCCGGCCAGGCAGTTAATGAGCTCCGCCAGCCGGGTCTCCGGATACTGGCTGAGGAGGTCTCCGTAGAGCACCTGCCGCACGCCCCCCACGTTGACAACGATCTCGATGTCCTCGCCGGTCGCCGCCGAGCCCTGGCTGTCCGGCTCCGCCAAGCTGCGCTCCCCGGCCCCTTCCATGCTCCCGCACGAGCGTTCCCGGCCCCAGCTGCGCGCGCCCCGCCGCCTGCGCGGGCTCCGGAGGGTCCCTTGGTCCGCGGCCCCCGGGGAGCCTTGAAGGGCGCTCACAGAGAGCAGCAGCGGGCCGGGGCGTGCGGCGGAGGCGGGGGAGGCGGCGGCTGCATGCGCCCGGCAGCCGAGATCCGCGCGCGCATCCGTGCGCCCAGGGCGCGCAAGCAGGGGCTGGGGGGGAGTGGCCTCGCCTGGGGCACTCACCGGCTCTGGGGCGGCGCGATCTGCGGCTTCAGCTCGGCCTCCTGTAGCAGCAGCGGGAGCAGTATGCGGGGAGTGGGGGTCTCCGCGTGGGTCGAGAGCACCTTCCTCTTCCCAGAGCGCGAGTGCGGTCGCCGGACCTACGCTGTGCGCGGAGGTGCGCGGAGAGGCAACTTGCGCTCGCTCTGCCCGACCGGGTCCAAGCACAATAGGAATTCCAGCTTGACGTCAGGAGCTTTCCTCGGTCCCCTCTTCTGGCGAGATTCCGCACGGCACGCGCGGCGGCGGCGGAGCCACCAGTTAACCCTTGGGCAGACGGGTTGGCTCCAACTCCAGCCCGCGCCGCCTCGTGCCCCGGGCCACCCAGGCAGGAGCCAGGACCCTGGGCTGGAAAGCAGCAGGCTGCTCAGCCTGCAAAGTCCCCTGTCGCCGGCTGTTGGAGCGGTTGGTGGCCGGGGAAAGGACTCCGCAGCCTGTTGCGCGACAGGAAGGGAGCTCCGCTCGCCCCTCGCCGAAGCCACCTCGCTCCCTTCCCCGGCCCAGACCCCGCCGCCCGCTCTGGGGTCACCTCCACCCTTGACTTCTAGTCCAGCCTCTTCCCAGGCCCCACCGCACAGGCGGCCTCCCCTTAACCCAGGGCCTTGCTGTCGCCCTGCCTTCTGACCAGGTCCTCCAGTCCAGCGGTTTAAATTTTGCCTGGACTCCTCGCTGGCCTTCCTCTTTCCCCAGAGCCCGGGGCGCAGCCACTAGGCAGGGGGAACAGGCAGCGCCTGAGGTTTTTCTGCCGTGAGACTCCTCTGGACACCCTTGCGGCAGACACATGCTGTCCACTTCCAACCCCACAGAATACGCATAGTGCGGGGACAGGGTCACACTGTGTCAGATGTGGACACAGGGCCCTGCTTGGTAACAAGTGGCCCCTTGGTGGGGGTGTGGATGGGAGAAGGCTGTAGAAATGGGGTCTGGGAAGCACTGCTTTAGTTTGTAACCCTAAAACTTCTCTTATTTTTTTAAAGACGAGGTGTTGCTATGTAGTTCAGGCTGGCCTTAAACTTGTGTCAAACCTGCCTCAGCCTCCCAAGGGCTGGGATTATAGGCATTCACCAGCATGCCTGGCATGCTCTTAATTTTCTAAGGCTATTAAAAATTTTGGTCAATCTGGTGTTTTTTAACCTAAGGTCATGCCCATTAGTGAAAGTGATTTACTGGGCTCCAAATGGTATTTTTTTCTTTAATGAGATACTATGAAACTGACTATATTAGAATACATCACACAAAATAAGTATTGTGTGGTGAAACTTCATTTTACAAATTATATTTCATTTCTATTTAGAATCAACCTACAACAAGCTACTCCAGACCTGGAAGCTGGGGCTCCGAGAGGTCGGATAATAAATGTTAACATTGTTAGTATGAGGTACTGTGCACCAAACACCCTCCGAGTGCTTGGAGTTTTTCTCACTGAGTCCCCACAGCGGCTCTCAGAGGACAGGCTCTGGGGCCTGTTTTCTGGGGTGCAGTGCTAGGGGCCACCCCACACCCACCCCGCCTGTCTTCCAAGCCTTCCTCTCACCACACCCTTTTCCCTTATCTTTGCTGCTCTCACAGGGCTCAACCCAAATTGCATCTGAGCTTAATGGGTTTAAAAAGCCATGCATTCAATTGCGTGCTCAAATATTTATTGCACTGCTATGGCTCACAGGCCACACCCCACCTGGACGTGGACAGAGCTGGTCCTCTATGGAATAATACACCCGCACCGGGCAATCAGCGCTCACAGCGAGACCACTAGCTGAGGAGGGAAGTGGCCCCATGTCCTTAGTCCCTGGGGGGGTGGGTGGAGGCTGAGGGCTACCATCTGGCTCACCGCATGGAGATGTGCACTGGTGCCTGGTGGAGACCCTTAGCCCCTTGGTACCCTCACTCCTGGGTGCTTGCAGACCCCTCCCCAGGCCAGGGAGACCGCTGCGATAAATCAGTACCCAGGTGTCTCCCCCGGAGGTGCCTGGGTGCTGACACATCATGTCAAGGCCCGGGAGAGACTCCTCCATTACACTCGTGTCCTGCAAGAACAGCACAGGCCAGAGCGGGAGCAAGGGGAAACCGAGGCATTGCTGTTCCTGGGGAATACGGGAGGGGCAGCACGAGCAGCTCGACTGGCGCGTTAGTCTTGCTTGTGGCTCTGGGTGGCAGCAGTGGCCTCCGGTGGCTCGGTAGCCAGGCTGGGGTCACTGACGGCCCGGGAACCTGGCCCAACTGGTGGGGTTTGACGCAGGCACAAGGGCTGGGGTGGAAGGGCGCACAGGAGACAGGCCACACCCTCTGCTGTCTGAGACTGGGCCACCCCAGCAGGGGCGGTCTCTCCGCAGATGCCCAAGCATCAGGAATACCAAAAATAAAGAAATCTGCTAATGCGGTACTGGCAAATCTTGACTCCAAGGAAATATGGTTAGGACAGCTGGAGACGCGGCCTGCCGGGAGCTGGGGCTTGATGGAGGCTGCAGGCCAAGGGCCGTTTGCCTGCCGTAGAGAGGACAGAACCCACGGCCTGGGTCGAAAGCCCACAGAGCAGACGGCCAAAGGCCCTGGGCAGCTGGGAGCACAGCCCATGTGACTGTGGTGACCCAGGGCACTGTGGGAATTTGATCAGAAGTGGAAGAAGAAGCCAGGTATGGTGGCTCACACCTCTAATCCCAGCACTCAGGAGGCTGAGGCAGGAGGATTACCACACGTGTGAGGTCAGTCCAGACTACACAGTGAGTCCAAGGCCAGTCTGGGCTACACAGTGAGAACCTGTCTCCAAAAACATAGACAAAAAAGCGGGGGAGGAGAAGGAGAGGGAAGAGAGGAGAAGGAGAGGGAAGAATACACCCCAGTGCAGGTGTATTATTCCATAGAGAGGTTCTTGCAACCAACTTGAGGTTCAGCAGAAAAGAGGCGGGACGGGACAGCCCTTCCCAGGAGGGTGGCCCCAGCACTCACAGCCCGCAGCTTCCCTGGCTGTCGATAGGTGGGTAGGCGTTATACCCTTGCACAAGGCTACCAGTTGACAGGCAGGACAACAGAGTGCTCACACAGAGTGAGGGGCGGGCTGAACTGAGCCCTGAAGAGGGCTGGAGGCGGGCTCAGCGGGCTCCCGGGTTCAATCCCCAGGACCACGAGGAGGACGGCAGGAGGCCCGCCATGCATGGGCTGCGACCCGATTGCTCTCGCGGAGCCGGCTCTGCCCCGGGTGCTGAGAACACAGCAGAGAGCTGGCCTAGGGGCCAGTCCGTGGTGCAGGAGACACGGCAGCCTCCACGCTGGGTGGTGGCCTTGGGCCAGCAGCAGGGAACGGAGACAGACGCGGGCAGCCCTGGCCTGTCCCGGGGACCCCTTGAGGGACCGCGCACTCTCGCCTGCCCGCTCACCCCGGAGCCCCGGCCACTGCGGCTCTCGAGCACTTGACATGCACCCAGTGCCGCTGAGGAGCTGACTGCTCGGTGAGCCTTGGTTTAGTAGCTTTAGTAAAATAGAACAGCTGGGCGTGGTGCTGCACCCCTGTCATCCCAGCACTCACTCGGAAGGCTGGGGCAGGAGGACTGATCCCCAGCAAGTCTGAGGCCAGCCTGGGCTGCATAGTGAGTTCAAGGCCAGCCTGGACTATGTAGTGAGATCCTGTCTCAAAAAAAAAAAAAAATTTACACGGCATACACTGGACCTGTGTTCAGCGGACAACCCAGGGGCTCTGAGTATGTTCACAGGGTTATTCAGCCCTCAGCACTATTGAATTTAAGAATACTTGCATTGCCTCAAGAATAAACCATGTACAGTTGGGCATGGTGGTGCACACCCAGAGTCCCAGCACATGGAAGGTGAGGCCAGAGGATCTCTGTGAAGTCCAGACCAGCCTAAACTGCAAAGCAAGGTCCTATCTCCAAAAACAAAAACAACAAAAAAGAATAAGCCCTGTACCTTAGAGCCTTGCGCTCCAGCCTCCCAGCCCAAGCAACCGCTAGTCTACTTTCTGTCCACAGGTTCCCTCTGTAGCATGTGGGTTTCGTGACTAGTTTCTTTTTTTCTTTTCTTTTTCTTTGTGGGGTGGGGTACTGGGAACTGGACCAGGACCTCACGGTTGCCAGGCAGGCACCGTACCACCGAGCTAAATCCCAGCCCTGTAGCCCAGTTTCCTTCACCCTCCATGCTTCAAGGGTTCGACAAGTAGCGCGTGCATCCACGCTCTGCTACTCTGTGTGGCTGAAGAACAGCCATTACATGATAAAGAACATTACGTTTCTAGCCTCTTGTGCCCAGTGGCTCCCATATTGGGCAGGTCAAGTAGAAGAGGGCAGTGAGGGGAGGGGCCATGCCTCCCAGTCTGCCATACTGGGCAGGTCAAGTAGACCTGGCAGTGAAGGGAGTGGGCTGGGAAGCCACCCAGACAGAGGCAGGGAGGACCCAGTTTGACCTCCTCTGCACAGGTTGCCCCCCACTACAGCATGGCCCCACCCAGGCCTGAGCTCTCCACTTCCCACCCTTCAGAGCTCGGTCCTCAGGGTCCCTGCCTCTGCCAGCAGGACTCCCAGGACTGTCCCCCGCTTCTGCCGGGGACCAGGGTGCCTTACCCATCACATGCGCCGGTCCGTACTCGGAGACTGGTCTGCCTACCCCACGCCCACACCCTGGGCGGTGCCTGTGACCGTGCCCCACAGGGACCGGATGTCCAGTGCTGCATAGGCTCAGGGGGAAGGAGCAACAGGAAACGTCACTGTGCACAAGCCCTGTCACCTCCACAGCGGTAAGGACCTTCACGACTACCAGGGCCTTGGTTTTCTCAACCATCTGAGAGCTGCCTTCGAAACTGCTAGGTCCCTCCCTGTTTCCCTCCTCTCCCTTGGACACAGGCCCTGTCTTCTAGCCCCAGAGCCCCTGTCTGGCTTCTATATTAGGCTGGGATTCCAAAGATTTAAATAAAAGCACAAACAAAAAGACTTCAGGAAGCTCAGGCAGGAGGATCGCAAGTTCATGTTCTACCTGGGCAATTTAACAACTTAGCAAGACCCTGTCTGCAAAATAAAAAAATAAAATAAAAGGGGCTGCAGATGTAGCTCAGCGCAGAGCACCATGGGTTTGATCCCCAGTACCCCCCCACACACACACTCAGAGACCGTTGCCACCTCTCAATGACGATCGCTGGTGCCTAGAAATTGAGCCAGCACCTGGGCCCACAAGGAATCCAGG